ATATGATGAGTATTTACGAATAAAATAATGAGAAGATAAGACATAAGTAAAGGAGGGGGAAATGCAGTAATAATAATAATAATAATAATAATAATAATAGGATAATCAAAATAATTAAAGCTAAGGTAACGATAACGATAAGACGTACTTCTTTTGTACGCATAGTTCTGGTTTAAGCCCCTGGATGGTAAGAGCTTCGACTATTTTTAAGAGTTGGATACGAAGAAATCTAGGTAGATTTGAAGGAATCATATAAAAAACCTTAAAGTCAACTTGTGGATCTGTAGAATGGTTGCAGTTGATTAGGTTTTCAAGGATAGAACTCTTAACTGCTTTCCTTTCACCCTTATAGAACCATGCTGAGATATGTTCCCGTATCCGAGTCGGAAGCGAGCGCTGGCTACGGCCAATGTACCTTGCGCCACAAGAGCAGGTGAACTGGTAGATGCACATAGAGGCGACCAGACGCGGAAGCTTATCTTTTGTGGATACAGAAAATTAATTCCTACTAGTGAAGGCTATTCGCAGTTTAGCCGCATTAAATGTTCTTCTAATCGTTGTTGTTAGACGATTTTTGATTACGTCTGATGTTCGATCACCCTTAAATCCCAGACTTATATAAAGGTTTTTCTTCGGAACGAAGCAACTAGAATTATTGTCGTAACTACTTCTATTCATATTCTTTTCTATGAAACGTTCTCGTTAACCATTTTTCATCGAGGTTTTCTTGAGGAATGCGAGTTCTTCGTTAATGCATTCCGTACTGCATATTGGATGTATTCGATAACATAAAGAATGGATGGGGTTTCTCTTTCTAATCAATATATTTTAGTTTCTTTTATATGTGGTAAATAAACTAGGTTTTGGTAGCATTTACCATTCATCATTAATTCTATGAACATAATATTTAATCTACATTCATTGGATTCATATTTCAATCCATTTATCATGAAAATATATCCGATTATTAAAAAGCAATAATAATAAGATGTTTCTATATTGAAGTAAAACTGTCATGAAAATATGCAGGATATTTACTTGACAACTAGAAACAACTACATTATTTTTTTGTTTTTTTAGGTATATCGATGATTGTGAGCAACTGTCATTTTTCTCAGTTTTCTTCTTTCCTTTTTTAAAAAAAATTTGTTTTACATTATGAAATTTCATAATGGTACATTTTAACCATAGAATTTTCAATAACTAAAACAAATTTAAAATATTCACATTTATCATTTATTATTTATTTTACATTATTCATAAACTTATCTATTACGCAATCATGTTTCTTTATAGAATAAATAATAATATTAATTAATAAACCATTTCGGATGGATTTTGTGGATATTATTGTAATTTCAATGAAAAAGATCATAAGTCAGTTGAAGCTGGACCATCATGGAAAACCTGGAAGCACTGGATGGCCGTTTCGTCCTATTGTGAGACTCATCAGTGCGCACCTAAAGGCTGATCGTTTGCGCGCAAGACTGGAAGTTCCTGAGTTCGAATCTCGCTAGGCGGGATCGTGGATGCGCACTGCTGGGTAGTCCCACAATAGGACGAAATGGCCGTCCAGTGCTTCTAGGTTTTCCATGGTGGTCTAACTTCAATTGACTCATGACCTCAACTATATATATATATATATATATATATATATATATATATATATATATATATATATATATATTCACAGCAGAATGAATTTGTAGTTCCTGCTTTATTTACAAAAAAACATTTACTAAATACTTTAGAATTTTTGGCATAATTCATTAATCATAATCAATTTTGACAAAACTGACCTTAATATTATGATATATTTCAAATATATTATGTAGGTTCAATTATATTATCAGATTGCTGTATACTAGTTTACGTTACTACCTATCAGTATTGAATATGATTATACCTATCGTCTACAATAAAACAGCTTATTTATACACATTAGGTAAAATATTGTACATATTATAGTACAGATGTATATTTATTCGAGACTATTTTTACATCACTTTATAAAATAGTACTTAATAAGAGTTTCTTTATAAAATTTGACCTTTATTTTATTACAAATATTATTAATCAGATTAGATTTCAAGCATAGATGTGAAAAAAACACTACTTAGTAATAAAGACCAACCACTATTGATTTGAGGAAGACATTTTCTACTCATAATTATTCATTTAATTATAATTACTGGAGAAAATACAATAATCTTTACTGTATTATATCGTGTTAACATAGAAACCGACCATTTTTATTAGGATGATATTTAAAATATGTTTTAAGTTTTTATTAGAAACTCTTTACATGATTTTTATTAAGAAATATGATAAGGAATTTTATGAGTATTTTTGTTTTACGTGACATGATATTTTGCGTGACTCAACGTTATTTAGAATATATTCTGTTCAAAATCAAAATCTACAATCATATATAGTGTAATCTTGGAAAATAAATTGTCTTCAGTATATCACATATTCATGGTGTATATCATATATGGGGTATATCACATATTCATGGGGTACTAAGTAAATAACTTATTGATATATGAATTATTTCATACGCAATACGAGTTAATTTTCTTTGAAATTTTAAGAATTGCTTGTAGTGTTAGTTGCTATGTCAAGCCTACACAGCTTATTCTAGCTTTCGGATAGATCAGTTCATTCAATTTTCTGAGTTACATTTTGACCTTGTTAATTATTCACTTATCAATGTTGACCGTTTTTATGTAAGTGTATATATGTGCATTTCTTATCTTACTTATCACATGTCTTTAACTTATTTTTGTTTGACTATAAATATCGATTCACTCTTGCTTCAGTTGAGTTGGCTAACACACCTCCATTGAGCGTCATTTTATTTCTCTCTCTTCTCTTTGCTTCGCCTCTCTGACTGTCTGTCCGGATCAATGAGTGTACAAAATATATGTATTTAAAATTTATTCTCGTATTTGACTTGTTTAATTCCATTAGTCCCAACGTGGTTTAAGTCGATGATTATCTACGAGGATCGTAGACATATATTATTAATTAAAAGATGTATACATGCTACGAATTAAGTAAAATTATTATCGAATATCCTTATTCTGGTCCATAACTTAATTCTGTACACTATTGTTTTCGTATGTTGACATGCTATTACGTTCAGTCAAAATTACTCATGTATAAATGTTTGGAGCTACATCAGAGAATTAATAATAAAGATGTTAGAAAATGTCATCATGTGACTGATTATAAGTCATTTGGCTATCATTAGTCAGATATCGCGAACCAAATATGAACGTAGTGACTTAAATGCTGTTTACTGTTCCACTTGATGTCTACTCTGATATAACTTACATATCTGAAGAGTTTCAGATTGTCCATCAATCTCTTTATTTATTTCAATGCTTCATCTACTTTGTACAAATAACTTAGCCTACCAATTAGTATAGGTCGGAAAACTTTATAAAGACATTTATAATTGATGGTGTTAATGAGGATGTTGATGAATTACTCAACCAAATGATGATTCAAAACTCCTCGGAATCCTAAGATAGTAAGTAAACACCAATTACATGTCATTTATGAAACGTTGCTTTAGCTAGACTAGAAATAACATATGAAAGTATTGTTTAAGATTATATCTGTTAATGTGTATCTTCATTCAATACTGTTACCATGATGAAAAGCATAGATGTGGCTATCTAAATTCTTTCGCATTCAAAATTTCACATACAATAAAATGTACCAGTAACTATTCTTTGCTTAAAGATATAAACAATTTGGATTTGTAACTCGTTTATAACCGAAATGTCAATCAATTTCATATGTTCACAACATACGTTCAACTTGTTGAAAGAATTATATCACCAGTTTCACTATGCTGAATATAATCAACTAGGAATAACAATCGTAAGCACAACAAACTTTGTTTTTTGAAAAAAAGTGTTTTGTCGACGAGTTTAGCATCAAATAATTTTACATTACATATCAATAGTGTGAATGATCATAAATCTCAGAATCTATGGTCAATAGTTACTTCATTTCATAGATATTAATTTATAAAGAAAATAAAGAATATTTTAAACAGTATAGAAGGTCATAGTGGATACATTTTCTGAATAAAAAACTTTTATGGTATACAGTGGTGAAATAGCTTTGTATATATTAACTGATACAAAAACGTGGATAAAAAAGTACTTTGGTGGAAGTATGGAATTCACTTATTTCGAATGTGAGACCAGAATTATCACAAGAAGATGATTGCATAATCTCACTAATTGTTTGAAATTATAAATGTGAACGATTGACTGAAAAACAAGTTATCTTAATTTAAATTTCTTGACAAGAAGCCTGATAGTCTTGAATTCAGTGTCAGAAGACATGGTGAAAATCACTTCTCTAGAATCCTATACTTTTATGGAACAATGGTTCACTTTATCTGGTCCTAAATAGTTATTTGGTCAATATATGACCTGAAGCACAGGACTTGAACATCAAAACATTTTTACACTCACTTCTACAAATCATATCTTAACCCGTATTATTTTTAACAAAAACTATGTTTGTGAAGATCCATCAGGATCAATATTTTTTGTATTATCTTTATAAACTTGATTTTTCTATCAACTAAAGTGATTTTGCTGTTGGATACTGGCTCAGTAGTCTAAAAGTTGAGCGTTTACGCGCGAGACCGGGAATCTTAGATTCAGGACCCTACTGCAGGATTGTGGATGCGTATTGTTGAGGAGTACCATAATAGGTGGAAACAACCATCTAGTACTTCCTAGTTTTCAATGCCGGTCTGGCATTGATCAGTTCACGATCTCGTTTATAATTTTACGTTATTTGAAATTGAATTCAAATTACCTTTTCATGATACATTCACCTACCTAAGTACAAATACATAAATATTATAACTTATTGATTAGTTCTGATTTACCTAAACATACAGAACAAGGATATCAGTAAAATCATCAATATTTAACAGGTTTTTTTGTTACCAAGAAATAATATTCTATAACTGGAATGATCTTTTATTGAAATGAATAGTAAACGGATACAAACATTTTAATCGTTTTTTTTTAATTTAATAAACAAATCAATCACATCAAAATCACTTTATGTTATCATTATTACTATGAACAAAATGTTAAATATGAAGCTACATCCGTTTCATATGTTGTCTAATCAAGAAACAACCATTTGAAACAATCAGAACACTTAACTATAATCAAGTAATTATTCATAATTTTTTTATTTATTACAATAACCATTAATATGTTCCTTCCTACATTTTAACCCAAACAAACAAAAATGGAAAGTGACATGCATAATTTAAATGGTATAACTCATGAAAAAAACAACATAGAGATTGAAAAAAAAGATTACAATGTAAAGATTGATAGATATATACAGATAACATGTTCTTCTGATTTTGCTTTTTTTATCCTATAAATCAATTTCAGAAATCTGATTGAATAATTTCCTTTTAACCAATCAAATAGATATCATTTGTTAACTAGAGTTTAAAACCGAAAAAAAAACAAAAATACAAACAAACAAATAAGAAAACAAACATAATTTATGTAAAGAAAAGTAAATTTGTGTCATATTTTTTTTACTGAAAAATATTTTTGTTTAAATTAACTTGACTATTGAGAAAGTGTTTTTTTGTGTGTGAAAGAAACCAAAGAAAAACTATAAACAAACAAACATTTACACAAAATGATTAGTTATAAAATGAAAATGAAAATTTATGTTTTATCCATATCATTAAATTAATGTTATATATTTGTTAGAAATATGTCATATAATATTCAAATGACTACAGTTTCTTCATCTACAACTCAATCAACTACATTAAATAATTCTTATCCTACTACTATTACTACTACTACTACTTGTGGTACTACTACTACTAATAATAATAATAATACTTATATGCCAACTACAATATCAAATACGTTTCAATCATGTATTCAAACTGATTTATCAGATAATCATTATCTATTTGATGTACATAAAACAAAAGATGATTCTATGAATAATAAATTATATACAGTTGATCATTTAATAAAATCAACATCAATTAAATCAAAATCGAAACGTCTAGAAAAACATGTTACATTATCTGATGAAATATTAGATGTAAATTATCCACCATTTCTTCAACATCATTATATAAAATCTAACGATTATTATAATAAATTTAATATTGATAATTTAAATAATAAAAATAATAAAAATTTAACTAATATAGATCATAATTATCCATTATCAATTAATCCAACTATTCCACATATGTCAACGGATAAAATAAGTACAGCAAGTCTTGGAAGTATGGTAAAATATTGTACAGATAATCATGGTAAGTTATTCAATGTTTAGTAAACAAAAATGTTATATTTTTAATAGATAAATGAAAAAACAAGTTTTTTGTTTTTTGTTAGAGCTTACCGATCTCAAAAAAGTTAACAAAAATGGTAGTATTGGATGGGACAAATGCTATTATGCGTAGGAAATCCTTGTAAAAACTGTTATTTATGGATATCTCTTTGATTGTTGTAGTGTTGGACAATTAATTTGAAATAATAGAAAACCTTCGGTACAGGGTTTTCTTTTAGTCTGTTATATCTTCATCCTTGAAATTAATGAACTAAATTATGTCATATGAACGCATGTCAGACAGTGTCAAGGTTAGATATGTAATTATTAACCTACTGACGGCCTACTATGAGAATAAGATATTACATACTGATAATTAAGTAGTAATCAATGTTACGTTTGTTTTTGACCTGGTACTGATTGAAGTTCAATTTCCAAGTTTTGATGATTGTTGTCCCTTATCATTTAACTAATTTTGAAATTATTCCATTGTTGTCATTTATATTCTAAGAAATAAACAACAATCAAATGTTTATTTGACATTTCGAGATTTTTCAAAGTCAAGTGAGTAGTAATTTAAATGCCAAACAGCTGCATCCTAGTAATACACAGTATTAATTTTAAACACCCTTTTATTGATATGTAGCCTCACTGCCTTATGCACTCTGGATTTCTTAGAAAAAGTAAATGAAGGTATTGATAAAGCGTACTATGAAACTGTTTTTAAGAAATTAATATTCGAAAACTCGAACAATAACAGTCAAAGAGACATGGTAGCCTATGAAGTACATTTATATTTCGATCGTTTACCGTTACAAAAATGTGGAATGGATTAGTAGAAAGATATGATTTCATATCTCGTTCAATTCATTTTCGACAACCTTCTTATTTAATGAAATAAAGTTTTTTTACTTACAAAAGCAATATGATTTGTTAAGTAATATGCTAAATATATTCATGAAGATTTTACTAGATGTTAATGTGGAAAAGTTCAAATAGGTATGCAGTTTTTTATTTTGAATCTTCCTATTAACAATATACTATTAACGTCAATAACAGATAGTTATTTGACATTTAAAAACAAACATTTTTCCCCTATAAATATCTGTGAATCACAGCAAGATGAAAAATCTTTAGTTCACAAATAATAAGAGTATACAATCATTGTTGTGTAATAAATTGGCAAATAAAATACCCCTGTAGTGAACGAGCACAAAAGTGGGGACTATCGAATGTTTATGAATACAAAAAAATCTGAGAACTATACAGTAAATAATCCATTTACAAGATGTCAATTACTCATCTCAGACTACATTGTTATTTCGTTTCCGCACCAATCATTCTATGTTCTCGTTCTCTTTTCTGTCTCCACGCATTTCACTTTTGATTAATGATACATACTACTTATATCTGTCTACATCAGTAGCACACACTGCACCCCAGGCTGGTTCTATCTTCATGTGAAATATTTTTTACATTTATTGATAGATACCAGTCATTTTAAGGGTATTTTTCCATTTTAGATCTATTCAACAATTTAACAGTTTATTGGGTCACGACATTTTCAGATTTCACATTGTAATTTTTATGTAAAGGAAAAAGAGATGAACTTGTATTTTTGTATTCTAATGACTGCGTTGTGTTGTATAAAAACATTGTTTCTCAAAAAAAATTGTTACTTATAAATATATTGAGCAGAATAGTTATTTTTGTAGTGATATATAGTTTCAATTATAGTTCCCAGACATATTCCAAGACGGCGACATTGTGTTTGTATGCAGACTATTCGATATGCTTCTGAGATAGTAATTACTCGTAATTGGGCGAAATATTTTTCGCTTTCAAAAGGTGCACTTAGTGATGAAATACAGTGTATAGGTGCACAAACAATGCAAGGTTACATTTCCTGATCGTTCCAGTTACACAGCAAGACATATAATTCAACTTTGAAGAAAGATTTTCACTTATAATAGTTCTGAACCTGTTATCACTTTTAGATATCGAAAAACAACTATAATTTAGTTGGGTTTTTTTAATGTCCACTCTGGGTAAACTAGGCTAGGAAAGATATTTAATCAGCGAAAAAGATAGTTGATGTAGTTAAAATAAGCAAATCTTGTAGTAAAGTTTGTATTGGTTTCCTGTTGAGATTTTTAAAAGTCAGCTAACCGAGAGAATAGTTTATGTACACTATCAAAAGATTTTTCGGTAATAGTATAAATATTGAGATGACTACGCGATTACTAACTTAGTAAAAACTGAGCAACTAATAAAATTTTGAAAAGAAAAGGAAATTAGTAGAGTTGAATGAAAGCAACAATTAATTAATTAATAAAGAATTGATGGAATATGGCTAGCAGTATAATTCATGATACCTATTTTGTCCTATTTAGGACTCGTCGACTGATTATACCAGTATCCCGAAGTTGATGTCCACTCACGGATTCGAACCTAGCATCTTTTGCTTCAGACGTCAACTCGTTATTTGATTAAAGACTCAGTTGAGACAATGATTCACTTGTGTAACCTGCATAAATTTTAAACAAAGTTTTATGATTTGATCATTTCCATTGTTGATGTATGATTTAATTTATATCAATCTTGGTTGGTATGTATGCATAAACTTGTTTCATAATGACAAATCTCAAGAAGATCCGTACAAGATGCACATATCCTAACTAAGGCTGATTAAAATTCAGTTTGATTATCTATAAGGGGATAATTCAAGGTAATAAAATTACTATAATATACACGAAACCCTTTTTGATATTATAAATTAAATGAATTTGTTAAAACCAACTAAGAATTATTTTCAAAAAACGCAAACCAATGTCCATAAGAACGGTTGTTATAATCTCAGTGAATCTTATAATTTACTTCAATAAAATAAATAGAAATCAATGTAAGCAAATGATTTTTAGGTTATCACAACTTCGACATGTTTTTCAATTACAAACTCATATGACAGTTGTGAAATATTAAGGGTTTTTCATTTATTATGTTGTGATGAAATGATTATTAGGAAAAACATGTGTTAGGATGATCCTCTTCCGAGAATCGATAAGTGAGTTCAACATTTTTTGCTACTGAGTGAGGGATATATGTAAGAGTAGAATTTTCACAGTAAATTTTCTTTCAAGCACCTAAGTTTATCATCATTTGTCTATCATGAACATACCATTGTGGAGAATCCCAACATACTGAATGAATAAACACAAATGTGGTATAATTTAAGGCTTGTAGTTTACTCTTTAGTAAAAATCACACTTTAATATGTAGCAATGATCAAGTAGTTGGAAAAAATACCCAGAAATACTTCATACCCTCCATTAATTGAAAAATGATAAAAATTATGGATAACGTCAGCCGAAACACCGAAAAAATATATACCGGATCCTAAATATTTTAATATCTGAATAACGCATGCTAAATATCATTATTCATAATAATAGTAACAATATAAACTAAGAATGCCGGTCAGTTTAAACGTTATCTCTCAGTCTTAACCAGTTTTAAGCACATTGTATGAGAAAATAATCGACTAGGTAACCGAAAACGTTTCTATTCGAGTTTATTGAGTGCAGTTAACTCCTTTTACTTCTTATTTCCGGTGATTACAATGGATCTTAGAAATGTTGTTTTACTCAATTTTATCCCCAAGTAACAGCATTTTTAGGAGTGAACTAAGGATGACTTTGTAAATTCCTTTCCAACTAATCTTCACATTGAAGTATATACAATAACATAAACTCTTCGTACCGTTGAACTAATGCTCCAAAATGGCACTTCCAAAAGATAAGAACATTCATTATCTGGTCTGTACAGTAAAGGCCAAAGTCACTTAAGCATACGGCAAAGAAAAATTATGAGCTGAACTTAATAAACTAATATGAATCTTCATTTTTTTCAATGTTTTTCATTTAAGGATTAGTTATTTTCAGTAGGTGAGTTCATGAGTTGATCTAATCTAGTTAAAAAGTAAAAACCTTTAAGCACTTGTTGGACTTTTGATCCTGCTTTGGAATTCCTCAGCAGTGCACACTCACGATCCGTCACAAAAGACTCAATCCCATAACCTCCGATCGCGCGCTCGAACACTTAACTTATAGACCACTAAGCCGTCGTCCAACGGTGTTAATGTCTAGTTTCATAGTCTTGTGCGACCCTTCATTCTATGTTTTCATTGTTTTTTTCATGAACATATAATTTGTAAACGTCTATGTGAACCAACACCAACTGAACACTGTTAACTTTAAGTGAATCACATTAACAAATTCCAGTCGTCATGTAAACGTTATCGTAACCATGTTTATTACTTAATTCTCTCAATATGAATGATTTCTTTAATCACTATTGCACATAACCAAAACATGTCAATTATCAAACATAATTATAACCTTTAAATTTAATCAAAAACCATATTGTATTAATTAAAATACATAAATAATTGTATTCATATTGAATAATACAATACATATATAATTATAACATTGTCAAAGTATACTCTTACATATCACTGTGACGGAAACTATTCAAATAGCTATAGCCTATTACTACTTTGTAATCCAGTTTTATTTTTCTGTTTTTCTGTTCAATGTGACTTTTTTGCTAAAATATAAATTTAGCTGTTTAAAACTTTCTAAATTTTAACAAATCACTAGAATTCACTTGAACCAGAATTTAGACTCTTATCTTAATATAAACGAATAAATTGTTAACATGTGATTTGAAATTAAAATGTTTCTTCCCAAAAAAGAATGCCACCTTAATTGTTTATTTATAACATGTATGATTGAACAAACAAAACAACCAACATTATTGTTGGTTGAAAACTTTTTATGAAGTCGTATTTTATCAGTTGAATTTGATGGATTATAAACGCTTGAGACTGTTTGTAGGTACAAAAAAAGTTTATGAAAGCCTATCATTTGTACATGTCCTGTAAATCTTTTTCAACTGAGCTGATTGGCATATGTGTTATTC